AGATACTATTATTTATGAATTTTAAATAATGCAACTCATTTTTTGAACTCCTTATATACACAAGAAAATATTGGCCCTATGGCGAATGCTCTTGTAAGTTTTAACAATGTTTTTCCCTTACCACTCACTTTAATCAATAGCATCTACATGATTTAATTTCCTTATTTCTTTTGAATTTTTTAAAAAGTGAGATGACATAGCGTGGTTAGCGAGCTGCAAAGGCTAATTACTCTGTTATGTTTTGTCCCCAGTTGTCAATATCTGTAAGCACTTCTTCTGAAGTCTATCAGTACTATAAAGATGTCTATACAAAAAGAACAAATTATTCTCAGAATATCATGAAGAAACTTCGCTTTTATGGGGAGCGAAACTCGTGTATTTTTTTTAAAAAAGATTATATAGTCCCGTTTTCTCATTTCAAGCAAGATAGTTTGAAAAATGAAGATGTAAATGTCTAAAGGATGAAGAAATAACTGTTTGAAAAAGGACAAGGTTGAATAAGATGTTGCCGATCCTGTAGCACTTATTACCCCACCTTATCTTCAAAAGAAGATTCTTTTCTGCTGATCACTTTTCAAGAAGTAAAACACACACATACTCACATTCTTATATCTATACGTACGCGCTTAAAATTTATGAATGTGTCACATTTAGTGAATTCTTTAACATACCTATTATTTCTATTATTTTCATTTAATACACTTCTTCATTTCTCTGCAACATGGCTTTGATAAAAACTGAACAAATAGCAAGAAGGTAAACAGGTAAACAACACTCTTGAATAGTACTACTCTTAGTCTTTAATATAAGAGCTAGTTGACTAATTTGAGTAGATTAAAAAAATTAGTTAAGTTACTTATTTGTATTAAGTAGGTGTTGTTTTCTCTAAAATATCTTACTAATCATGTATATTAGCTAAAAATATCATTTGATAGAACATTTAATATGTACAACTATTTCAAGAACTATCTTAAAAAAATGGATAAATAAAAGAGACAAAGTGAATTAAGATCTTATATTTAGGATCAAATTGAATGTCAAACTAGCTCTTATATTAAGTAATAGAGGTAATACTATAATAACAAAACAAAAAATTTGCAAGGAAGGAAACTTAAACATGTCCAATAATGATATGTGGTTATCAATCTTCAAGTGATTAGAACAAACTAGGTATATATAATTCTTAGATATTGATTATAAAAATGTGAAGAGATGAGTTGTTATGGTTCTTGACTCGTGGGTCTCCCCACTAAGCATGTACTCCTCCAGTTTTTAATATAAGACCTAATTGTTGAGTTGATTTTGATCATAAATATAAGATTTATTTCTCATATTTATCATTTTTTCCTAAATTACCCTTATTGATACTCCTTCATGCATAATCAAATAAAAGGAGGAAGGATATTAAAGAAGACAATTATGGTGTTTTAGGAAAAACATGTCATATTTCTTATAATTACCTAACTTACTTAACTTTGTTAATCTAATCAAGTTAGTTAAATAAGTCTTATACTCCTCTGATCCTTAATATAAGACCCAATTGTTGAGTTGGTTTGGTTTTAAATATAAGACCCATTTCTCATATTTATCATTTTTCTCTAAATTACTCCTATGGATACTCCCTCAACTATAATCAAGTAGAAGAGGAAGAGAAGGTATTAAGAAAGATGATTATAGTATTTTAAGAAAAACGTGTCACACATTTCTTATAATTAACTAACTTACCTAACTTCTTTAATCTAATCAAATTAGTTAAATGGGTCTTATATTAGGACTGGAAGAGTAATTATATATCCATTATTAAGCAACTCGACATACAATTCAATAATGGGAGACTTTTACTGTGACACAACCCTCCACTTTTGGAAGAGTCATCACTACTTCATTAAAAGAAAGGAATGAAGGAAGGAGACAAGCTAGTAATAATTTTTTTTATTCATATGATTATTAAAGAAAGTATAATGCATTACTTAGATAAAAAAAGTAACTCAATCAATTGATGATTATAATTAAATAATGGAGAATCGCAAGAGCACATCGAATAAATACGACAACAACAACATTGTAACGATATAATAATATAACTAAGTCCATGAATTATTAATCATCTTTAAAATAGGACATTAGTGTGTTCACAGGTGGAAAGTTTCTTCATTCATTTGTCTTAGTTACTATGGCATTCAAATGCCCAAGAGAAGACAAAACTGATGTCTTATAATTATTATGTGTACATATGATCATAAGAGTTAATGATACGTTGTTCTAATGGCAACGCTACTCGTTATGTTCGTACAAGATTTCAGGTTTGAACTTCAGCCAATTTTAACCTTTTCCTGCACCATCACAAAGCAATTATATATAAAAGAATGGGAGAAATTGCATAAATATAATGTCTCGGATTAGCACAATATATATATATTAATTACGACTCTTTATAAACTTCATATTTTATGTTTATTTTATGAATTTTACTTTCATTATTTTTTATTTTATATTCTTTTGCAAGGTAGAATATGCCCACTTACAAAACTTCCAATCTTTTGGAAAAGCAATCTCTTTCTGAAAGCAACCGAGGGGTTTTGCGACCATCGATCATCATGTATGAGTATACCACAGCATTATTCCTAGAATGCTTTTTATTTGTAAAAAAGAAATCATTTTTTAAAGATTTCTTATATGATAGGACTGTGACCATCATTTTGGCATCTCCCAAAAAAAAAAAGAGAAAAGAAAAGAAAAGGAATCCATTAACAAACAATGTTTGGCACATATATTGCAATACAATCAAGCATGGGATGTGGAATATAGTGTGCTTTTCCTCATGATTTGATAAATCTCTTTTCATTCGTTCATCATTTTCCTCATACCAAATAAATAATTGAAAAAGTAAAAGCTTATATTTCTTTTCATGCCATGCAAGGTATAATCCATATCATCCGTCCTATACCTTTTCATTATTTTTTTTTTCACTTATAAATTTCATTATTCTACATATATATCCCAGACGAGCCATCCCATTATAATGCTTGAGAAATGAGAGCTCTGCCTTTTACATGCCAATTGTACGACATGTGTTGTACATAGATATTATATTCTACGTTAACGACTAATTTTTAGAATATTATCATCGGTATATCAATACAAATGATGAAATTTATTATGTTACAAATCTTGAATTGCGTGACTTATACGCAAACACACAGACACACACACGCACACTTGCTATAATTATAATTATTTCTTACTTATAATACAGTCTTATTCATTTGCAACTCAACTTTTATTCCCCAAGGTCTCTCCACTTCTGTAACTCAGTTTTAGATGTTGAATGAAGGTTTGATGTCAAACGTTTGGTAAGATCTCATACAGAAATATTATAATTGTTGTGCGCTCATCGATTTTCTCTGGAAAATAAACAAATTTTTCAAGAGTGATCTCAAGGAGCTACCAAAAACATATGAAATGTAAAATATAAAATCAGAAGTAGTTGAGAAAGTTGCGAGTAACTCTCGAGTGGACTGGTCTCTTTGTTATTGTACTAAGACGTAGATGAGCACATCGACACACATCTGAGCACAAATTAATTAAAACTACTGCCTCTCACAAACTATTACACAAGCAAAGTGGATTATTGGTAACCCTGAAATCTACATAGCCACCTTCTTATGTTGAGGGATTACTATAGGACTTCTCGCTCCATGCTTGCCATCAGTCGAAGTCAACTCTCCAAATGAAGGCTCTGAAGTTTTGGCTGAACGTGTGGCCTGCAAAATAACCATATAGCTCTTCTTTTGATTTGTCCTTTGAATGGTTAAAGTTGTTGGAAGAACAACAGCTTTAAATCCTCTAGGGGCTTTAATAATTACATTATATATCCTTGGAGGCCCAACATTTGTTACTGCACGAGTAATATTTACAGGTTTCACACCCAGAAAAGGCAATGTGATGGAAGGGTAGTTGAAATCTTCTAGTTTGTAAGACCTTGGACATTTGTATGGCCTATTATAATTAATGGCTTCAATTATTCTTTCCTCGTAAAAAGAGAAGCATAACAAGTTGAGGTAATCGGAAGTTTTGAGATCATAAAAATCCAGGGTCAATTGCAATGTTGGGATTGACATATCCTGTACCATAGTGAAATGGAGTTCCTCGGCTACCATCTTGTTCGTCCTGAATCGGTCTATTGGTGTTATCCAGCATGCTTGCTATAGCAACATAATTTTTTAATCCTCGTAGATTTTATTATCTATTGAATTTTACTTCATTATTTTTATTTTATTTTATTTTATATTTTATATTCTTTTGAAAGGAATATGCCCACCTGCGAAACTTCCTATCTTTTGGAAAAGCAATCTCTTTCTGAAAGCAAGCGAAACCGATCATCATGAGTATTACAGCATCCCAAGTATGCTTTTAAGAAGAAGAAGAAGAAAAAAACCATTTTTTAGAGATTTATTATGATAGGACTGTGACCACATTTGGCATCTGCCCAGAAATGTTTTAAAAAAAGGGAATCCATTAACAAAGGATGTTTGGCACAGATATTGCATTGTTGCAATATAATCAAGCATGGGCGGCATGGAATATAGGGCTTTCCTTCGTGATTTGATAAATCTCTTTTCATTCTTTCATAATTTTTGTCATACCAAATAAACAACTGAAAAAGAATATGCTTATATCTCTTTTCATATCCTGTACCATACAAAATATAATTCATTCATCCATCCCATCCCTTTAATTTCATTGTTTCTTTTTCTTTGTGTCATTTATAACTTTCATTATTCTCCATCCCACCAGACCAGCAATCCCATACATATAGAGCTTTGATAAACGAGCTATGTTATTTGCAACAATATGAATGTGAATAGAATCAGATATCATATATAAGTATTATATTCTACGTTAATGACAAAGTTTTATAATATAAACCAACGGTATATTACACACTCTTGTTATAATTCTTTTCACTGAAAGCGTATCTATCGAGTAGACCCATCGCTTTGTTATTGTAATAAGACAAAGATGAGTACATTCACACGCATCTGAGCACACACTAATTAACACTACTGCCTCACACACTTTTACACAAACACAGTGGATTGGTAACATTGAAATCTACGTAGCCATTTTCTCATGGAGGAATCACTATAGGACTTCTCACTTTATGCTTGCCATCACTCCAAGTCAACTCTCCAAATAAAGGCTCTAAAGTTTTGGCCGAACGTGTTGCCTGCACAATAACCATATAGCTCTTCTTCTGGTTTGTCCTCTGAAAGGTTAAAGTTGTTGGAATAACAACAACCTTAAATCCTGTTGGGGGTTTCACATTTACAGTGTATGTACTTGGAGGCCCAACATTTGTTACTATACGAGTAACATTGACAGGTTTCACACCCAGAAAAGGCAATGTGATGGAAGGGTAGTTGAAATCTTCTAGTCTGTAAAACCTCGGACATTTGTATGGCCTATTATAATTAATGGCTTCAATTATTCTTTCCTCGTAAAAAGAGAAGCATAACAAGTTGAGGTAATCAAAAGTTTTGAGATCATAAACAAGTCCAGGGTCGATGGCAAGGTTGGGTCTGACATATCCTGTGCCATAATGAAATGGAGTTGCTACGCCACCATCTTGTTCGTCCTTAATCGGTCCATTGGTATTATCCATCGTGCTTGCTACAACAAGATATAGTTTTTGATCCTTTTCTTACGAAAAGAATGAAATAAAAAACTGCAAACATGGAAAAAAAAATATTAATGTATATGTCATACCCGTGGTCATGATTGCTGACTTTATCATTGCAGGACTCCAACTAGGATGGCGATTTTTAATTAGACCAGCAATGCCCGAAACATGAGGACATGCCTGGGAAGTTCCCGTTAAAGCATTATAGTCAAAGCGACGGTGATCTGAATCAAGGTTTGTGGGACTTGCGGCAGATGAATAAGCAGCGATTATATCCTGACCTGGTGCTGTTACATCAGGCTGTAAAAGATTAAAAAACAAAAAGAAAACGTTAAGAATTATTACAATACTCTGATGACTGGGGGAGTCGTTGTGTGAGAATGGATCGATGACCTTAAGGATTGAGGGAAGAATCATGTTGGGTCCCCTTGATGAGAATGCAGTAACTATTGGAGCCGGCCTTTTTGGTATAAATGTTCTTGCATTACTCATTGCTGCAAGTGGCATCCTGCAACATATGCAAACATAGAAATGGAGGCCTGTTACTAAGGATATTCGCAGAGCAATCCCAAATGGATTGGCGAATGAGAAAGGTGTGCAATCATTACTTGTTTCCAGAGAAATAGGTGTGGCTTTTCGTTTTAGGCTCACTCTGATCGCGAGGAGGAGGATAAGGAATGTTGGAAGTACCAATAGAATGAACATCGGCTGTACGTGTGTTCAATTGCTTATCATTTTGTAAAATCATTTGCAAAGCCTGTACACGGTTTGCTTCTTGGCCCTTGTCGACAGGCCTGAGGCTCCTTCCTCTTTGGCATACTACTATGCGGCCCCTTACTTTGCGAGGATCAAGAGTTCCAGCTTTGCAAAGCTGACTGCGCAAGAGAGCAACCGAAATGTACGTACATGTTTATATTGACAGTTCAACAAAGAGAGAGCATCATGAGCTGTGAAATTCATTCTTACGCATCCTGAAATGTTACGTTAGGAAGTCTGGCATTGCCAGCAATCACCACAGGAATTAACCTCTGAGATCTCGAGTTTGTATCAATACTTGTGCCCTGATTATACATATATACATGGCCAGAGAGTTTTAAGAGAAGAAACCAACAAAATCAATGTATATAATCATTAGAAGAAGAGAAGCGATACGAACCTTAATGATTTGGCCATTACCAAGAGTAATATTATTGCTGAATTCCCTGTCAATGGAGCCAGCAGCAATGGTGAAGATCCAAGGCGCCACATTTGCCACAGTCTGAAATTCTGGTCCCTCGTTACCGGCGGAGGCAACAACTATGATTCCCCTGGAAACCGCATGGAAAGATCCAATGGAGATTCCATCGGTCAACATATCGTTCACATTCGGAACGGCAATCCCACCCAGTGAAACGGAGATAATATCAACACCATCATCGATGGCTTGATCAAAAGCTTTAATCGTATCTTCATCGGCGCAATCTTCAGCATTGTGAAGACCCCAGCAAACTTTGTACGCCGCCAGACGAGCTCTTGGAGATCCTCCTTTGGCGGTTCCGTTCCCATTGTTCCGAACGCTCACGTTTCGCACGAAGTTGCCCCCTGCTGTCGACAGAGTGTGGGTCCCATGCCCCACCACGTCACGTGCGCTAATTACACCGGTAACCCTCCCGTGTTTTATCTGGTACGCGTTATAGAACGCTCTCGCTCCAATCAGCTTCCTATTTTTTGCACATACACACATGCCACACATGAGCAAAACATACAAATCATCCTCCCTGCATCTGAACTCGTACCCAACTTTTGATCAAACCTGTTGCAGAGAGTTCTGTTGGGGCCAGACAGACTATAAAGCTCGCATTTTGATCCTCCACGCCACCTCCTTGGAACGGGACCGTACCCATCATCTCTGAAGCTTTTCGATTCTGGCCAAACACCTACATATATCCAACAACTCAACGTATGAGGATAAAACATAATGATGAAAATTATTAATCTTGTTGCAAAATTTTTAGGATCTGGGGGGCATTACAAAGAAGACATTAGAGTCGCCGAACCCAAATGTTCACAGATTTTTAGAAACTCAAATAGCTTTAGTGAATCGGAGAGACATAGAGAAGAAATATACGTAGATAGATTTCATTTCATTTGCAAATAGTACGGTTAATTACCGGTATCAAGGCTGCCAATAATCACATTTTGACCAAATCTTCCTTTGACCCAAGCTGAGTCAGCTCTGACTCTTCCGTTTCTTTCTTGCCCCAGAAAGCCCCATGACCTGGTTGTATGCAGCTTATGCGATTGGCCCAAGAACACCGACACTACTTTTGGATTTTCTGCGTCCATTTTTCAACCATTTTATATCAATCATCAATATCAATGTCTAATAAATAAAATATAAAATATAGAATTGAATAGATCTACGAGATATATGAGGGTACAAGTCTCTCACTCTTGATCTTTTCTGCCTCATCATCTTCAAGTAATGCAGCAAAGCCATTGATGTGTCGGTTGTATGAGTAATAGATGGCTTCTTTGGCCCTTTCATGGCTGTCAAATTAAACATATGACTATTGAAATTAGCGCTGTACACATAGGATTCTTTGCAGAAAGAGAAAAGTTAATTACACCATTCAAAATAATTGAATTAGAGGGAGACATAAAAATTAGAATAAGAATCCAAAAGGATAGCCACGGGGGGAGAGAGAAAGAGAGAATGAGCAATAAAACAAGTTTTGCGCACGTTTTTATTTATGTTACTTGTTTTCTTTTCATTGGAAAAACAGCGGTTATAGGGGGTGTCGGTGCGCCTTTTTTGAATCATCCCTGACTCTCATACAGTGCACCTCTTGCTCTCTTCTTGTCCAAATTACTCCCTCTAATTTTTATCATAAGGAACTGTGTTACATATATCTACATTATGTATAGAGAGAAAGGTTCTCTTAGAAAATGAGTGACAGATGTCCATGAAACTTGCACGTACGTACCTTCCTAAGACGGAGGCAAGTAAATCATAATGGGAACTTGTGGCGAAGTCCATATCAGCAGAGGAAGGTTTCGGACCATGAGAATGGGATCCCAAGTATATAACGTACGACTGCAACATGAAGTTGTTTAAGGCGGTTGAGGACGACGACAAGAATATAATACTTACGAAAATTATGAAACCAATGATGCTTGCATACCTTTTTAATGGCATAGGCAGGTTGCAGCAGCTGCAAGAAGTTGCAGAGCAGAAAAGACGAAAGAAGAAGGTGAAACATAGTTGAGCCTACCATTTTGCTTCCCCTGATTGTGCGAGAATGGCCACTCTATTTCGCCTCTTTATATAAGTCCCTTCCCACGTGTTTGTGGACTAGTGGAACATTTCTTTCTTCTTCATTTGTCTTTATTTTTGGGGAAAAAAAATTAGTGAACAGAATTGGCCTACAATGAGATTGATTCAATTACTCCAATAATATAATCTTGTCGGGTGGAGCTTGAAAAAATTACGATCCCTAAAGACAGTTTATCCTAAACAACTTTACTAATTAAATGGGAACACTTTAAAAAGAATTATTTTTATGATTTATGAGACAAAGTTCCTCTTACATGTTTATGCAAAATTACTTGAAAGAAGTTAAACTAAAAGCATCCCAATTATAAGTTGGGAAAATTGTGCCCCAAAAAAAAAAAAAGGAATGAGATATTGAGGAAGAAGGAGTATTTCTCGAAACTTGCAATCGAGCTTTAAGAGATCTTCACGAATGTTTGCATGATGATTCTTGAAACTCGATTGCACATCTTCAATATAATAGATCTTCAATTCTTGGCCTTTCCAGCCAAATATCTCACTCATTTGGTCCTTTTGCACAATTTTCCCTTGTAAGTGTGATTTTCTCATTTGTATCAATCTTGACATCAGTGAGATGCGTGTATGTGAGAGTGTAGCTTAACAAGAGATTATACTACTTAGATAGCGATTCGATCAAGTGACTTTTCCCCCATCAAGTGTTGGTCCAAAAAAATAAAGAGAATTCTATAACATCCTTACACAATTAAGAATTCCAGAGAACTACTGGTTATTCCATATTGATATAACATACTTTCATCGCTTATTATAATAAACAACTATTAAAATGGTTAAAATGTTAGTTAAATTTAGTTAAAAATAAGGAAAATTTGCAACAAAGTCCCAACCAAGAAAATTAAATACAAAAATATCCCTTGAAATCATCAAATTATTCTAAAGTTTCAAGTGACCTCATTACAAGAGAATTTATTTGTTTAATTACCAAATTATCTTTTTTTTTTAAGTTTGCATTGACAACTGAAAGAGCAGTTATTAACAATTTAAGGTGTAAGGATTAACAACTATTGCGGTGAGTATTGATAACTCAAGCATTACATTTTGTGATATGGTGAGAAAATGTGTTGTCAATACCTGCTATGATAATTGTTAATCCTTACACCTTAAGTTGCCAATGAGTGCTCTTTCAGTTGTCAATGCAAACTTAAAAAAAAAAATGATAATTTGGTAATTAAACAAATAAAATTTATTACAATAAGGTCCCTTGAAACTTCAGAATAATTTGATGATTTCAAGGGACCTTTTTGTATTTAATTCCTTTGGGTGAGACCTTATTGCAATTTTTCCTAAAAATAAATGAATGTGCAAGATATATATATACATATTTTTTTGAATTATATCCTTATTTGTAAAGAGAGTATATTAGAAATAATGAGTACAAATTTATTGTATAGAGATAATAAGTGACATATATTTAATACGAATAAAGGTAAAAATACGAGTTTAAAATTTTAGATAAAAAGAATTTTTTTTTATATATAGAAACATCATTATGAGAGGGATATTGTTGTTTATAAATGCAGATAATGACATATCATGGATTTTTTTTTATCTTTATATTTTTATTATATATTGGGGGTAGATTGGTGATAAATGATAAATATGTGGAATTAGGAGATTGACAAATAATGAAGAGTGTGGTTTTATCTACAAATTTGTGTAAGGTAAAAACATGACAATAAATTATTACTCCTCTTGTCTTATTTATAGGACAGAGACAGAAGGTTTTTTTTAGTCCTATTTATAGCTCACTTCATTAAATTTTTACCATAAATGTATTATATTGTCTTTCATTTATTATAGTACAGATAGTTATTTTTTTTCAAAGATGTATATATTAAATAGAGGTAAAGTTAGAAAGTTGCTATATTTTAATGAAGAGTTAATGCAGTTTAAGGTTTTTCTTGGTCCTTATGAAACATATTGAAAATGCCTTATAGATAGGACTAGAGGAGTATATAACTTTTGTAGAAAGCCAACATATTGAAAATACCTTATAGATAGGACTAGAGGAGTATAACTTTTGTAGAGGAGTATAAATAATGGTAGAATTTAACATATATGTCTTACTTCATTGCCTTTAGTTCTTGAACTAAAATAAGAGTTTTTTTTTTTTTTAGTACACTATTAAATCCTCATGATAAGATGAAAAATGATGCAAATTATAGTTGTTCACGGGACGGACCAGGATTGGGACAGGCCTGTCCCAATTCCTTCCTGATGAACAGTAACAGGACAGAGAAATTGTCCCCTGTCCTGTCCCGTCCCGGTGTTGTCCCGGTCCCAGTTGGGACAAGACGGGATTGGGACGTCCTGATATAAATTTTTTAAAAAAAATTTTTTGAGTTGTTGGGCCTGTTGCAATAAAATTTGATTTTTTTTTCTAATTGTAGTTTTTTAGGCTTAGGCCTTGTAAAAATATCTTTTTGTTTTCTTTTTTATTTCTTTGGGTACCCTTAAACAAAAACCCAAAATATTACATATAATAGCTATTAAAAACTCTAATTAAAAGCTTTAACACAATAAAAGCTTGCTAGAAATTCTAATCATCAATAGTTTCAAATCATTAACAAATATAAAAGTTCTAAATAAATGAATCCATAGTTTCATACAATAGTCTCAAATATTAAAAAAATATGAAAATAATGATATTATATAAATATGAAAAAAAAAATGAAAAAAAAAAAGGATCCGGTTCTGAAAAATTTCAGGACAGACCTGTCCTGTTCCAATAAGGTCTAGACCGCAACAGGCCGGCCTTGAGCACCCCTATTGTAAATGTTATCCCTGTAGTTAACAGGGGCTTTTAATATTTGTTTGACCGAAAATTGGCGGGTGACCAATCCACATGTCACGATCCCAATACCTCATTCCGTCCTTTGGCCTTCTAAGATGAATGGTTCCAACGTAAATTCTTGTCTTTATGAGGGGCTTCATGTCGAATTTGCAATGTTTAGAAGCCTTGATTGCAAGGTTGTTTTTTCATGGCCAAGGCTAGCAATGCAAAGTTGAGTCACAATTATTTAACGAACGGTCAATTGTTGGCAAAATAATAATAATAATAATAACTAACGGTCAATATATATTATTTCTAATTAATTTGACTTTTAATTTGATCTAAAATATATATAATATCATAATTTAGTTTCTCTCTCACATTTATCTATTTTTTTCAAGATAATCTTTGTAGTAGTTGCACATGTTAAATGTTTCATCAAATGGTAATTCTGGCTAATATACATGATTAACAGAAAATTAGTTAAGTTAGTGAGTGTAATAAATAAGTATTATCTTTTCTAAAACATCCCCGTTAATCATGTATATTAGTTAGAAATATTATTTGATAGAACTTTTAGCATGTACAACTATTAAAAAGACTATTTTGAAAAAGATAGATAAATAATGAAAAATAAAGTGAATTAAAGTCTTATATTTAAAACCAAATCAAATATCAAACTTGCTCTTATATTAAAAACTACTCCTTTGGTTCTATTTACAGGCACTTCCAATATATTTCACACAAACTAAGAAAATCTAAAATGTATTAACTCTCTATTAAAATATAATAATTTTTCACTTTACACATATTTAATATATACATTTTCAAAAAGGATAACTATCTATACCATAATAAATAAAGAACAAAATAATACATTCATACTAAAAATTTAATAAAAATGACTTATAAATAGAATAAAAAAAATCTTTTCTAATACTAAAGCGACGTTGTACATCGTGGTAAAAGTGTCGGGTACTGTGTCAAAAAAAAAAAAAGTTTCGGGTGCCATTTAGGAGCTACATTGCGTCAACTAGAAGTTCGAACCAACCGCTTTTTGACGAAGACTTCTAAAGTTGGCCTTTAAATCTTTCTTTTACTATTTGTTGAAAAACGCTTTTTTTAACTTGTTGTACAATATTATTATTATTATTATTATTATAGGAAAATAATTAAAAGCTCAAATGAGTTGGGTTGTTAAGGCTCACTAAACAAGGTGAGTATGTTAATATTAGGGTTCAAAGAATATTTAAAGCAATAACGAATCAAATCATGGAGGGGGGAAAGAAAAGAGAAGAGGGAGGGAGAGTAAGATGGAGGGGTTCAATACAGAGAACTTCTCAATAGGGAAGGCAAATTAATATATAATTGGAAAAATTGTGATAGAATCCCAAGTAAAAAAATACTTAATAAAAATCCCAGTAACAACATAGCAATTAATAAGGACAAATTCTAGAGTAGTAAATGACAACTACTCACTTGTTATTAAGACTTCCTGATAATTATTATTTTTTTATTGGGACGTCATTGTAATTCTCTCTATATAATTCTTATTCAAATGTATAAATGTGTGCGGCATAAATATAACTTTAAACCCGAACCCAAATATCAAAAGCAAGGATTATAGAATTTCAATAAATTAAATGTAAATATTCTAAAATAACCTAAAATATAATGATAAATAGGAAAGATTACAATAATTAGAAAAGTTCCTAATCCTTCAAATCAAGCTTCAATTCTTCAATATTCTTCTTCTTGCTTTTCTAATTTCATCAAATACTTATAATCCTCTGCTGATGAGATCCACATAATAGCAAGTATATGAGTTGCATTGTCAAGGATTGGACCAAATTAAACTTTGTTAATTATTATTATCATCATCATCATATCCTACAATATCTTTTGTTTGCTTTTCCAGATGAACATTCCATTTAGTCATTCATAGTGCGTTATAAAGTATAATGCTCCTTTCTCAAAAGAAAAGCAAATTCTATGTACTACTTCCTGTTTTAGTTATGAGACTTTATTTGTAAACGATATCTTATAATTAGGATCAGAGATAATACATTTTTTCTTTTGGTCACTCTAAATCATATGCTACTTCTCATTTTAAATATAAGAGCTAATTTGTAGTGTAATTTATACTACAAATC